CTGAGGACAGGCTAGGATGTGGGCTCATGGGTGGGCCGGGCTCAGTGGGGCCCATGGCTGTGTAGGGCAGGGCTGTGGGGAGCTGGAGATCAGACCTGCTGTGAGTTAACCAGGGGAGGGGCTGTCTTATGGTGTGTTGCAGCCAAACACCAGGCAGCCACTTGCTCATCCTCCCCCACTGTGGGGATGGAAAAGAGAATTGGAAGGTAAAGGTAAGGAGACTTGTAAGTTGAGATAAAAAAAATTTAATAATTGAAAAAAGAAAAAAAAACAAACACCAATAATACTACTACTAGAATATACAAACGAGTAACTGACAATGTGATTGCTCACCACCCACTGTCCAATGCCCAATCCATCCCCAGCTAGCAATCCCAAAGAAGATCCCAAAACCACAATCCTGGAAGCAAGAAAGAGCTTTCTGACCAACCCTCATCTATATACTGAGCATGACGGAGTATGATATGGAATATTCCACTGGCCAGTTTGGGTCTGTTGCTCTGGTTATGCTCCCTCCCAGCTTCTTGTGCGCCTGCACACTAGCATGACACAGGAAAAGTCCTTGATTTCATAGGAACAGCTGAAAACATCAGTGTATTATCAACATTCTTCTCACATCAAATCCCATATTGAATCCAAAACACAGCACTATTCTGGCTACTAAGAAGAAAATCTAGCTCCATTGCAGCCAAAACCAAGACAGGCTGGCAGCTTGGGGGGGCTGACACAGAGTCCTGGGCCCTGGGCAGGGTGGGAGACATCCAGGGAGGCTTGGCAGGGACAAGAAGGCCCATTGATGCCTTTAGGGCTCTGACACAATAATTAATTACTATATGTTAATCTTTTAAAAATGGTTCAGTTTCCTTTGAGTTGTAGGGAATTCACTTAAAGGAATTAAACAGTTTTAAACTGAAATGCAATAGATCTTTTTTTATCTGAAACCACTGATTATTCTTTTTCTATCAGATGTTGGCACAATAACGATTTTCCGTAGGTATTATTCTGAAGGTATTTTTTAGCACAGACTTTTTTTCTATTTGCAATATTTCAGTTTGCATTTCTGGAAGGCATTCTGAAAATCCCACAATTTAAATATTGGTGTCTTACTTTTTTTGGAACAATTCACACATGTTGTTTAACTTCAGGTGATTGAAAGACTATTCCACAGGATAGTGGTTAACAAACATTTCAGCACACACAAGCCCACTGCACAGGACTCTGCACTGGTGGATCTAGAGAAGCGGTAGATGGCTCATCTCATTCTGACATTATACATTGCACACTGTAATTCAGTTTACAGGTATTTCTAGAAAATGGTTTTATATATGAGCTAAATCAAAATATCCAGATCATGTCTTTGCTCATACAGGTGCTTTCTGGAATTCAAACAACACCACCAAGAAATACAGCTTTCTAGGGATGTCGCACACAACCAAATGGGAACAGGATGGAAAGAAAGTCATAGTGAATGAAAATAGTGAAGCAACCTGGCATGCCCCCAGTGCAGGACTTCTGGTTCAGCTTCACAGCATGAACTTGTCACATCTTTTTGCATATTTCCTCAGGCCAGAGAACCGTACACAAATTGCCTTACCTGATGAGTGACAGCACACTGCCTCATTATGGTGACCTGGAATTCTGGTCCTTCTGAACAAAGCATAAGAAATGTTAGTCACTGTAGAGAGACTTCCTACTTCAGAGGGAGATTGAGACAGACCAAGCTAGGTTTCTGTATAACTACTTCTTCCAGCCTAAAGAGCTTCACATTAAGGAGAAGGGCCACGTGGGCACTTCAAAGACTAACTACTCACATTCCAAGTCGGACTTCTAGGTTGCCAACACAATATGCAGGGAATACTAAATGGTAATGTTCTGTAAATTAGTCACAGCAAGTCCTAAAAAAGGGTACGTGATTCAGATGTATCCCAAGGAACTAGGCATCTTCTACCCATTGGATTTCCTAGTGAGGAACCAGGGATTTTAATTCTTTCATTTGTGATTGAAAGCTGACATTTAAGTACTGCGAAGGAGTTTATTAACAGAGGAGTACAAAGCCCAGAGGTTTTACTTCCTTGTAAAATACCTTTAAAGCAGGCACAGAAAAGTAAATTGGTATATCACCTGCTGCAGAATTTTGTATCTGAAACTTGGAAATTTTAAAAATGTCTAGTGGAAAGAACCAACAGCCAGAAAAGCTGCATTTGTTTGATCTTCTAGCTGTCAAGTTCAAAATTTGCAGGAATCTAACAGTGAATTCAGTGCTTGTAAAGTATTAGAAGGAAGGAGAAGGGAATCTGTCCCTCTCGTAAATATGAACAGGAAAAGTAATTTACCTTCACATTCAAAATATATCGGTTTGGAGTTTTTTCCTTCTCAAGCCTTATATGATATAATATCTTTTCCTAGGTTTATTTTTAAATATGATCTGCTTGAAGGCAATGTTCTCAGTCCCTGGGTGAGAAATATGCTTCATTTAAGTCAACAGCAATCTGTACTGCTGATTAAAAAGCCAGTCCTGATAGGCTTCACAGGGAGTCTCATCCATCTTGCCTTAGCGAAGAAGGTGGTAGAGAAAATGGTGGTGGGAGGAGGGGAAGGATGGTGGACAGTGTTCTATGAATCGTTGAACAACAATAGCAACAACAATAAATCAAGAATTATCTGTGCTTATATGTTCTATCAGTGTGGAAAACTGGCTCCAAAAAGAGAATTTCAAACTATTTAATGATTCCATATCCTGGGAATTCAAATGAACTTTGTCACCACTGCCAGTTTCATAAAAGAATGAAGTCTCCGGCAAGGCACAGATGGTATTTCTGAATGAACAGATGATTATGCCAAGAGAATATTATGCTTGGAAACACATTTTATTGATATATGAGTAAAGCTGTTAGAACGACAGCTATGGAAAAGAGGACCTAGCTCTTGATGGAACACCTGAATACAATAAGAAATTAGGCAGTCTTTAAAGGTTTAGTGCATTCTGCCGTCCAATTTACAAGGAATTAATTAGAAAACTATCCAGAAATCCTGAAGATTAAAACAGTTTTATAATTAATGAGAACCACAAGAAGATGTGTGAAAAGCAACAATTAGACCGTAAAATGTATTTACCTAAACTGAAAAAAGATTATTCACTAACTACTGGATTTCTAAACAGCACCAGTGTGGAGAGCTAGAAGAGAGGCCAAATTCCACATTGATTCTGAGTATAAATTTATTTCAGTGAAGCAAAAAAAAAGTTAGGCTCATTGATGTTAAAGACTCACAAGCCCAAACATATGCCCTTTATTGTGCTATAAGTTAATAGCTTTACTGTGGTTAAATGCATTGACACAATTAATAGAGTTACTTCTGATTACACACATGTTATCCACAGCCAAAGTGAGTTCACTGACTTCAGTGGAAATTCTGTGACTGTAAACCAAGGATCTAATGTGATAAGAGGTCAGAAAAGGGGTGCATGATCTTCTGCATTACTGGGTTTGAAAATGTTGACTTCATACTTGATATGACTATTTCTAATTCAAGAAGGCTGGAAACAACAGATTTGGATTCTGCACTGGTTTTAGATCCAAAGTAGCTCCCTTGTGGTCAATCAGCTCTTCTTGGTGACTTCAAGATGGTTTATGTAAGGGAAGAGATGTATCCCATGAGATTTTTCTCAAGGGTAAAAGATATTCAGCAGTATACCTTGCAGGACAACATCATAGGTGTTAGTCTCAGATTTTTACATACATTTTCTTGAGCATTGAGAGCAAGCCTTGGAGGCAGATGACCCTGGTTAAATAGTACAATCTCTATAGCTTGAAGAAAAATGTATTAATCATGAACATGACACAAAAAATAATACATAGCCCTCAGTCAACATTTACCCTGATACCAGTGACGAAAATATATGAGGAATTACCTAAACTATTTAAAAACTACTCAAGTTCAGTTACAAAATTATTTATGAAATTAGAAATAACCGAAGGATTTGGGTTATACCGAGGGGAAAAAAATAAAGAAAAAAATAAAGAAAAAAAAAAAAAAAAAGGAAATAAAAGAAACATACTCTTCTAGGTTTCTTATTCAATGTGAGACAAATGCAAATTTTAGTAAAGGAACAATTAGAAGGAAAAAGAGAGATTACAGGAATCCCTTCCTCCCACATGCTCTTCTACTGCTGTATTTGCGGTTTTTGTGTTATTAAATGGAATCCGTGGGTTAAATTCCATTTCTTTTTTTTTTTTTTTTTTTTTTTTTTTCATATTAGTGCAAAGCAGTGAGACATCATCCACAAACCCATTTGTATGTGTGAGATGAATACATTAGCTTCTCAGCAGATGGCTGTGAATTCTTCCAGACCGAGCATGTCTTGGGCTTTCAAGAACCGTTTATCAAAAGGAACACTGAATTGTCTTGAGTTCTGCAACAATCACTCCAGGAGAGCAAGTGCTAAATGGCTTAAAGATAAGAGGCAATCGTTTGGCAAGCCATTGTCAGCTCCAAGTAAGGTGCCCATTGGTCTGTGCATCACACACCTACTTGTTGCTTTGTGATGCCAGAGATAGATATCTTTATGTATTCCTTTAGAAAACCTTCATTTAGTCAGTGGGAGAAAAGGGTGTGTAAATTACATTTGGAATATCCAGAATTATTCAGCAACCTTATTTTTTTATGTTACTTCTGTGATACTACCATTTATAAGTGAGAAGTGGCCAGCAGAAGTTAAGAAAAAGGAGATCTGCATTACGTAAACAACGAAAATATTTCCTAGCATTCTAAATAGAACTTTAATGAAGGATACAGAAATCTATTTGGTTAAAGGTTATTAGAGTTCAGCTAAGGAGATTCTATATAATGGTGATACAACAGGATTACCATTTGTGGTTTTAGAACACCTTACATTGAACAATGTCAACACAATGTGCAGACTTAAAATCATAAGTCATCCCAGCAGGCTAGTGATGTAGACAGATTTACCTAGTGGGGTACATTTCTCTTACTCATGTAGAATGAAGGTGGGAGATAACAACGTCATCGAATCCAAAGGTACGTCTTGGCTTATCTTGCTCTTGTAGATGTTGGGAACAGCGGAGGCTCACATGGGGTTGTCTTGCTGTAGCTGAGGCCAAACCGCAGCTTGTCACAAAGCTGTGATTTTCACACAGAACCCACGTGTTGATACTGCCTTGGTGGGAGCTGGGCTGGGCTAGCTCTGGCTTCTGGCGCTGAGCAGCTGGTGGTGTTGGTGTTTGGTGCTGCGGGGTTTAACCACACCCCGGGCACGACTCTCAGGGATTCCTCTCTCTCTGGCAGCATTTGTCGGCAGGAACGTGATCCTGACGAGTGGCTGCATCATCGGGGCATGCTGCAACATCAACACCTACGAGGTGATCCCTGAAAACACCGTCATCTACGGGGCCGACTGCCTCCGCCGTGTCCAGACCGAGCGGCCACAGGTGGGTGTGACACATGGGTGACACTCTGTCACCCTCTCGTCCTCTGCAGACCACCCTCGCTGTGACAGCGGGGCCGTTGCCTGACCTCCCTTACCTCTGTTCCCAGCCCCAGACGCTGCAGCTGGATTTCCTGATGAAGATCTTACCAAACTACCATCACCTAAAGAAAACGATGAAGGCCACATCCACTCCTGTCAAGAGCTGAGCTCCTTGTGCTAACTCTACTGTACGTGCTTCTTTTTGGGAATAAAATGTCGTCTGCTTTTCTGCCAAGGGGGGACTGCAGTCCTTTCTGGGCGAGGTGAGGCCGCAGGGTGCTGTGCCCTGGTCGCACAGGGGCTGACATGGCCGTCGTACAGGGGCTGACATGG